GTGGAGGGTGCAGGGTTGGGGCATGGAGAAGGTGCAGGGGGGTGCAGAAGTGGCGTGGAGGGTGGAGGGTGCAGGGTTGGGGCATGGAGAAGGTGCAGGGGGGTGCCGAGGTGCAGGAAGGGTGTGGGGTGCAGGGATGGGTGTAAGGGGGTGCAGAAGAGATGCAGGGGGAGGCTTTGGGTTCATAGAATGGGACTTAGGGTGCAGGGAGGGGGTTCAGAGAGCAGGGAGGAGTTTTGGGTTCATCAAGAGGGTTTTAGGTTCATGGAAAGGTTCCAGGTGCAGGGCAGAGTTTTGGGTGCAAGGAGGAGGTTTTGGGTACAGGGAGGGAGTTTTGGGTGCAGGGAGGGGTTTTAGGGTGCAAGGAGGAGGTTTTGGGTCCATAGAGAGGGGCTGGGGTTCCTGGAGGAAGTTTAGGGTTCAGTGGCAGGGGTTTTGAATGCAGGGAGGGGTTTGAGGTGCAGGGAGGGGGCTTAGAGAGCAGGGATGAAGTTTTGGGTTCATGCAGGGGGGTTGGGGTTCATGGAGGGGGATTTGGGTTCGTGGACATGGTTCAGGGTGAAGGGAGGGGTTTCAGGATGCAGTGAAGGGGTTTTAGGTACAGTGAAGAGGTTTTGGGTTCATAGAGGGGCTTTGGGTGCAGGGAGGAGGTTTTGAGTGCAGGGAGGGGGGTTGGGGTGCAGGGAGGGGTTCGAGGTGCAGGGAGGGGGTTCAGAGAGCGAGGAGGAGTTTTTGGGTTCATGGAAGGGAGTGTGGGTTCGTGGAGAGGGATTAGGGTGCAAGGAGGGGTTTCGGGGTGCAGGGGGGCTGCCGGAGGGGTCCCCGCCGCCCCCGACCCGCCGGTCCCCGGCAGGAAATCGCGCACGTACCAGGTGGTGGTGGGCGAGTACGACATGAGCGCGGAGGAGGGGTCCGAGCAGACCATCCCCGTCAACTCCGACGACATCTTCGTGCACCCCAAGTGGCTCAGCTTCTGCGCGGCCTGCGGGTGAGCACCGGCCCCTGGGAGGGGGGGGGCTGGGGACACCGTGACCCCCCGGTGACCCCGCGGTGACCTCCCGGTGACCTCCCCCCCGTGTCCCCGCGCAGCAACGACATCGCGCTGCTGAAGCTGCAGCGCCCGGCCGCGCTCTCGGCGGAGGTGCAGCTGGGGCGGCTCCCGCCCGCCGGCTCCGTCCTGCCCGACGGGTACCCCTGTGTCATCAGCGGCTGGGGCAGGACCAGCAGTGAGCACGGGGGGACGGGGAGATGGCTGGGTGCTGGGGAGATGGCTGGGGAGGAGGGGGAAGGGGTGGGGAGATGGTTGGATGGTGGAGAGATGGCTGGGGAGGAGGGGGGAGGGAGGGGGAGATGGTCGGATGGTGGGGAGATGGTTGGGGAGGAGGGGGGAGGGAGGGGGAGATGGTTGGGTGCTGGGGAGATGGCTGGGGAGGTGGGTGGAA